AGGAAAAAGTTTATATAAAATCACATAAATAATTTCACTAGAAGGGTTGTTTTGATGCAGAAATATCTTCAAATTGATCATCTCGATATCAAGATGCATGGACATGAGAAAAAAATGGATTTCAATATTTGGAAACAATGCATCGCATTTTTGGACCGTCAATTTTCAAGATTTTGACGTTTTCATAGATATGCTCAACCTACACCATTTTTGAAGCTTTTCAATTTTATAATTAAAGATGAAAATATATTATAAGGCTATATCAGAAAGATTTCCAATATTGAAACCATATTTTTTGACATTATTTGAAGGTGCAATTGTTTAGAGCCTCGACTATATACAAACGAACCTTTTTCTATAAGATCTAGGTACTATGAAAAAAAAGCAAAGCCTTACCTAGAAACATCATCGATAAAACACTTTGGGCATGGGAAATCTCTATGATGGCTTTAAAATCAGTTTCAACCGTCGATTATGAATTTATTAGCTCAAAAAATGATGCAAATCTTACAGATTTGTAAACAATTGAAAATGGACAATCCAGATAATTTGGTATGATATACATTAGTTTTAGAGTTTGAAGTCCTATTTTTTTTTTCACAACCACAATGGCAAATGTGGATATGATGGTTTTGAAGATTTTGCGATGCAAAAACTATAATTTTCTATACGTTTTTAGGCGTGACAGAGGTGGAGCCTTGTCATATCATTTTCCTTCCTGAAATTATTCGTGAATCACGTGTACCAGTAGCCAAATCGAGACAAGTTTTATTACTTTTTGCTTCCACAAGGGGCTAAATGAGTAGTTGAAATTTAAGTCTTCAATAGACCGCCATTGTGTCTGCTCCCTATCTACACAGCTTGCTTCAACTTAATGTGTACATTTCTTTCATGAGAGAATTGATAATTATAAAATTAAAACTTATGAGAACTAAATAATTCGAGAGAGAGAGAGAGCTATGGTTTTGTTGTTTGTTTAAAGGTAGGGAAGCTAGGTTTTATTGGCAAGTTAGGTAGCACAATAAAACAATAGCCCTCCAATTGAGCTATGGCATTCTATTGGCAACTCAGGTAGCACAATAAAGGAAAAAGTTTATCCATACAACCCTAAAATGTAGAATTAAAGATACATCTCAAAAATCCATCAAAAAAAGTTATTTTAATGTTGAAAAGCCCTCTAATTGATCATCTCGACATGGACATGTATGAATATGAAAAAAAAAAGATTTTGAGTTCCAGCAATAGTGCATCGAGAAACACTTATCTAAACCGTCTATTTTCAAGATTTTCATATGTTTATAGATCTACTTGATGTTAACCATTTTTTGAGTTTAAAATTTTATAATTAGTCATAAAAATAAATTTTCAGATAATCCAAAAAATATTTTATACCAAAATTAAATGTTATGAAAAAATTTGGAAGCGCGCCTTAATTGAATTGTTTAAGGTTGCAACCTTATAAAAACCACACCCCATAAAACAATAGCCTTTCCAATTGAGCCATGGCATTTGAAATCCTCCAATGGGATCTCTAATTGGTCTTGTAGATAAACTAGACATGGTGAGAGAGAGAGAGAGAGAGAGAGAGAGAGAGAGTAGTAGTAGACGTACTTAGTTGTTACGTTTAGTAGTAGTTAGGTTAGGTATAGTCGTCCCTACCCCTAGTTGTTCGACTAATTAACTATTACGACAACGGAAAGGTAAATAAACTC